AAGGAGAGATTGTGTGAGGCGTAATAAAATATAAAGAGAAAGATTTTCTTTTGGACCCAAAGAGGCTAATCAATAAAAAAGACAGAAGAGAGGAAGAGTGAAATGAGGAGAGCAAGTGAACATTAGAAAGAGTTGCTGACACATGCAGCCAGATGGAGTCGAATAAACATGAACTGCCCCTATTGAGGAGGCGGAGGAAGATGTGGAGGTGGACTTACTATTTAAGAACTTGCTTTAGTGTTTTGTCATATGAAGAGGAAGGGAGAGGAGAATATGATGTTTGCTCTCTGCCTACACTGTACACAGCCTAAAAGTAACAGACCAGTCGGTGCTTATATAATATAGAACATAAGACCTGAAATGAATAAAGGATATTAATCACACTGGAAAATCACTCTAAGTAGAGATTTATTAGAGTTTTAATCAACATTACACACATTTTGATCAGTGGTTGACATAATTATTAAAGTATTATAGTAAATGATATAAGTACTTCTGTTTTTACAGGTACATTTTGTGTATTTTACCACGTCTTAAATGGTTGGCTGGGAAAAGAAATCGTTTTTTATCGACTTGGCTGTGTTCATGAGCTTCAAATTGTAATGTTGACATCACAGATGCTGTTTCAGAGTCGCTTTTCCAACTTGAGTGGGCGTTACATTTTCTCACTTGGATCCCCAACTTTCAGATTATACCAACATTACATGAAGGCGCCAGTACAGCAATGCGATCACTTGATGTTACCGAAAGTAAAACATTGTTCGGGTGTTTGCGCTGTGATTTGGATCAGCTCCAAAATGTAAAGTGTTTATCCTTGGCCCATGCTTCTCCCTTTTACCAAGTTTCAATAAAGTTTGGTCAGTAGTTTTTGATTAATCCTGTTAAGATAAAAATGTAGGGCGAAGGTTTAAGAAAGTTAAAATATAGTTAGGCCCTGTTCCTGCTTGTGATTGTGTGTTAACTGCAGCATCTTTGGTACAACAAGGATTAGTTCACAGAGGCATTGTAAATCATGAAGCCTCAAGTTCCTTGTGTCAGTCTATTCCTACAAAAATAATTGAGGATGCAGCTTCCATTTTCAGACATTTCCTGTTTTCTAAGAAATGTTCACACTGGCTCATCATCATGTAGAGCAGATTGATGGGATTGGAACAGATGATCCCTTTTGATCTTGATTAACTCCCCTGTTGGGGGAAGGTTGGGTGCATTTAGACCTAAAAAACACATTGAACGCAATATGCACATTTGTTGGATATTTTTGAGGAAGCTGTGTCTTGGAAGGCGCAGGAGAACACACACATGGAGGAATTTTGAATTCAATAGGGAGAGTTCTGGGCTGTACTTCAAATATTGCAGGATGTGTTGTGAACATTTGTTTTCGCAAATCGAGTGTTGGATTCTGCAAATGTTTTCATTGTGAGCTTTTGTTCTGTCTTGATTGTTGATTCTGTTGGCGTTTTTGGTTGCCCCTATGGGAACTTCTGGCAATTATGCATTAGTATCAAGAAATGAATTGAGTTGTTTGATGTGGTGATGTGTTTTATCAAGGGGGCCACCTCCTGTCAATTTTAAGCAATATACATTTACTTGATGGTAAAACCTAATCCTTTGAATTATAGACAAAGACAGCAGGACAGGGCAAAGAGAATAATAATAATAGTTTGAATTTATATAGCACCTTTCATAACCTCAAGGTCGCTTTACAAAGAAACATATAAGGACAAGACATAAAAACATAAAACATTAAACAGGGGGCAGAAATGGAAGTGTAACATTGCAATGGGGGGAGAGTGAGTTATTGTTGGAAGGCTATGTTGAACAGATGAGAGTAATCGTGCTTTTGTATTGCAGAGTATAACTCCCACTGTGTTAAACTCCCACAAGTGCTCTTAAAAACTCTCTTTAACCTTAATACTACTCCCACTTTGTTCGGTAAAAAACATATTTTTCACACCACATTCGTCCCTTCTTTTTGTGTCTCTTTTATAATGTTGGTCTCTTATCCTCTATCCCTTTGTCACTAAGTCCAGATCTCCTTCATCGCCTGATGAATATTTCTATTTCTGAGGAATTCTGGTTTGATGGTCTCATATCAGGTGAAAGAATGGGACCATTATGAAATAGTTGAATCATCCTCTTTCTGTCTCCCCTTCTCTCACCTTGTCACTGTAACTAACATATCCTGTAAAATCCTCCACGTCTCCATATTTGCATACTCTCTTCCATCTTTTCATGGTTCGTAAGACTGTCTAGCTTTTATATTTTCACACAGATACATTCACACAGAGAACCTCATACACATAACAACAGGGAGACCTTGAGTGTCATCATGTCATTGTGTCGTAATGGGAACAAACTGAACCCCAAAGCACTCTCCATTATCACTTCATAACGCAATTCAAGGAAAAAAACAAGTTTACAAGATGTTTTTTTACTTGATTTTCAGAGAATCAGAACTTTTCTTTACTGGCTGTTAAAACATAAAGCAGAGGCAAACAAATTCTTGACTCCTGATCTGACAATGATTGATTTTTGCAGTGCAAATTAATCCCGGACTTATTGACCTTCATCATGTAACTCTTAGTGAAACTTTCTTTCTATGCCAGAAAATAACCCTGTTGAACTGACTGAAATATTTACGTGACAAGCTGAGTTTTTCACTCCTACTACTAATTACACTTGCAGAGTCATCAGAGTTCAGCAGGACTCATAAAGCTAGAGGCAACTGTTCCCGTCGTGAGCAGATGGCAGAGCATTACTTTTCAATTGGAAATGTGTCATTTCGGGAGAACTAAAACAAATATGTCACCTGATTCGTTACCCCACATCAATGATTTCATCTGAAGGTCACACACAAAAGGTTAGAAAATGTTAATCACATTGACTCTTTATATTTACCTATGTTCCATCAACTATTTGGTAGAGCGAAGGTAAATATGTCAACAGGTTGGTTGGATTATTATCTGTGGCATCCAAAATGCCAGAATCAGAGCCTCTTTCCTGCCCTTGCTGGATCAGAAAGCACAGAGGCAGATAATATGATGGATTATACCGGAATTGTTTGTTGATGAAGTGTACTCCCAAGTCGAGAGTTGATTGTTGATCTGTGACACGTTAAACACAAGCAGATGAACGTTTTCACTGGATCGTATCACGATAGAATGTCATTTTCTCTCTTAGAGCTAACCTTTATGGTTTGATTGTCCTCACATCCACCTGCATTTGATTGAACAGAGATGTCTTTGCAGTAGTTCTTATCTCTAAAGTAATCATTCCTACCTGGATAGACCTGAGCACACCTGGCGTCACTTACTCTAATCAGGAGGATTACGGAACAGGTAGTCTTCAAGCCCTCTAGGGGCAGTGTTCTCCAGCAGCAAACAGGGCAAATAACCTTTTTAGGCTATCAAAATGTAACAACTAACTTAGTTCAATCATGTTTGAATCCTGTCTTGTTGTTTGATTTTTACAGCTATGTATCCAATAGTGCAGAACTCTACCGACAATATCATTATTCTTTTTATTCTTGCATTGTTCCACATGTCAAGTGAGCCATCAGCAACAATATCCAATTATTCCATATAATAATTCACCTATCTATCACTAATGCAGATATCCTTTAGTTTAAACTGTTGTTTTCCCCGCAGTGGGACTTTCGATATACTTCGATATACTGATTTAAAGTAAAAAAAGGAATTCCAAAAATGTTAAATTGAAATGAAATTAAATGTGGCTTTGGCTGTTGGCAAAGTTTGTGAATGTTTAATGGCCAACAGAAGAAACGGGGTCTTTCATTGTGTTTAATTGTGAGTGTTAAGTGGTGAAGTTCTTAGAAAGAGACTGTGACCCCATTTACACGCAAACGCAAACAAACTGAATACGATATCAACAAAGTCTCCCGTTCACACGAGACCGCTCGAAAGCGCTGGAGACGTCACGCTGTAGTAAATATGCCGGGCCTGTAAGTCGCACTGTACTTCCGCACGAGACCGCACAAAAGCGCTGGAGATGCTGTAGTACATATGCCGGGCCTGTAAGTGGCGCTGAAGTTCCGCCACAAAATAAACCAAAAGCAGCGAAGAAGAAACCCCCCCGAGCATGGTTGCCATGGTTGCCCTTCTGTTTATGCCCCGCGGTGGATTTAGCAACATGTAGTTCATGTAGTTCTCCATGTCCACTTGTTGCTGATGGTTGTGGTAGAGGAGCTGTAGATTTTGCACTAACATCTGTAGCATGGTCAGTAGCAGTAGCTACTGACAGCAGCTACTGGCCATGCTACAGCAGTGAGCAGCAGAGGTGGGGAGAGGTGGGGCTATGGCTTCATCGTTATCAGGAAATGATCGTATAGGGCGTACACATTGGGCCGTTTGGCCCCCCAGAGCATTCCGTTTGCAGATCTATCCACCTTGGGACCCGTCATCGTTTGCGGGGTCTGTTTCCGTGTTTCCGTTACGGCCTCGTCTGAACGAACGGGCTATACGAAAGAGAAAAGTAGCGGATACAACCGTTTGCGTTCTCATGTAAACAGCACCTGTGTGTCATACAACTTCCCTTGAGTAAATAAAAGCTTAAAAGGACACTTTTTCATTTTGAGAGTGATTTCTGTAAATGACAGGAGGCACAGCGGTTTTTCGCAGTGAAGCCCTTAATTAGAGTTGGCTCCCTCACACCAGCCTTTGGTGAAGTTTAAAGGTCAAGCCACCAAAAGCTTGCTCGCTTAGCTCCCCATGGTTAGATTTGCCCTTTCACACATGTGTGTCATTACACGTAGCTTGGCCCCAAAACACATTCCTGGCCACATGTTAGCTAGATTAGATTTAGCGCTGTGAAGTGGCCTTTTTCTAAGAAAAATAGTGGTGTCGCACTTGGAAACCAGTGCCATATGTTTATGGCTCCACTTTTAGCTTTTAATACTCAGTTGTGTTGCTAGGAGGAGTTGGGTGGAAACAGAATGAAGTCAACAAACAACAACAAAGCTGCCATCTAGACATTTATTTGATTTAGTATAAGGATTCTAAAAACACAAGAAAGGGAATTGAAATATTTGTTCTCATAAAAGATAAGAACCAGACATACACATTAAAAACATCTATATAGTGTCACATCGAAAGGAAAATGTAGGGATGTATTTATATAATTACAGTAGGGCCTATCTCTAAAAATCCACATTATTTTTATGGGACTTTTAGGATACAAAGTACACAGTGGTTGTGTAAATCAGTGTTTTTCAAAGTGGGGGTCCTGACCCCCCGGGGGGCCGCCAGGGGGCACCAGGGGGGTCACGCAAAGTTTGAGGGAAACGGGATTTTTTTTTTTTAATTAAATGTAGATAACTGTATATCTATCAATCAGTATGTGTCCTGTTCATGCCAATGCTTTTAAGATATGTTTTGTTTT